ATGGGGCCAGCATTAGTCAGACGCTTCGGTATACCAAAGAAATGTCTATGCATAGGTGCATGTAGATGACACGCGCACACGCGCACGTAAACACTATCACAGGCACACACTGGTCACTGGTCAATGTGATGATTAGGGCTTGGGTAACCTGCAGGGTGTGACATTACCCCTTGCTGTGCGCGCTGGGAACCCACGCTTCACGGGCTGAGTAGTGAAGAACAGCTAAGAAGCAAAGGTTCGAGATTTCAAGCAGACAGCCTCACCCCAATCCCAAACTCCAGGGATTAGCCTCCCCCGCTCTCAGCCCGCAATCAGAAAGCAATCAGATCGACAGCAGTTCCATCATGGAACGCAGTTCTCGCGTGTGCACACTCCGAAGCTCTCTCTCGGGAGAACACAGCTCGACAGAAGAGCCGCTTTGCGACACGTCCGCTAGATGTAGAAGGAAAGCCTACACCGCACAGGATACCAGCAGCTTTCAGCTTGAGCAACTTCTCCTATACACTAATTCCCAGAAGAGACCTCTCAACACCTCACATTCCCAAAAAAACGCTACTGAAGTCACAGCGGCGAGCGTAAGAATCTATCATACCACGTCATACAGCAGCTTCCATCTACTTTTCAATCCAACAATGCCCTGCCAAGAAATAGCAAGCTGATTGAGCCACGGTGAGCCCATCCAGTCGAAGTCGCGCAGCCCAAGCCGCTGAGTTGAACCAGGTAGGGGCATTCTGTAACGCTGGTATGCAGAATCCACACCCCAAGGGGGGGCTGGGGGGGGTTATCGCTTGCATACTGAAAAAAACCTTCAGTGTGGGAACCCCAGAAAGGAACCCTTAAACACAACGCGGAAGGCCATGATCTGGGTAGAACTTGAGTGTTTTCCTACCCGCGGGAGCTGAAAGCTGCGAGCACGCCTTCCAAACAGGAAGAACATAAGTCTCGCGCAAGCCATTCACACAGCCGGGATAGCTATCATCTGAAAGCTCCGGGGGAAATTGAACCCTCTGTGGCTCTACTTACTGCTGGTTGAGGATCCACCCCTCCAGGGGTACATCCATGTAACGTATATGAATATATAAATATACATACAATCATATTAAAGACCCTCATCCAAGAAGATCTCCGGGCTGCGATATCGGCGCAAGACGGGCTCAGAGCTAAGGCTCGTCAATATGAATTTAGAGCTAGGTAGGCACATCACGAACCACTAGAGCTCTCTATAAGATTATTAGAGAATATCATGAGAGATCATAGAAAGTTCCCTACCTAGGATTTTGGCCTGTCACTCTTGGGACATTTTGGATGTGGACTGCCACGGAGCCTGAAGCCAGCTGCTGGTGGCAGGAAGTAACGGGAACTCACGCTTCTCACCGTCCCCCAGACCGTCAGAAAGGATCCAAGAGTATTGGGATAAAATGTTAGGGTTTCCCAAAATTATGGTACCATTTTGGGGGGCCCCATAAGAAGGACTGTAATATTTTGGGGTCTATATTGGAATCCCCTGATTTTGGAAACTACCATGTAGAAGTATACTGGAGTTGTTTGGGCTGACATAAGGCATTTAACTTTGAGATCCTGCCCGCAGGTCTGGGTGTCCCACCCCGAGGCATGCTGGGTTGAGGACTAGTCTCGCAGTTTGTCCATCAGGGGGCCATCAAGCTTCAAGTCTTCCTCGTCTATCTCGATGTCAAGGTCGCCGTCGTATTGGACCTACATCTGTCATGCAGACGCCTGATTAACAGACCCCTTCCCCTTAATCGGGATTACCATACGGATCCCAATATTAAGGCCCTTGAAAGGAGGGGTTTATCAGTCATGGGTCTACATTAAACTCTACGCCCCAACCTCCCTGACCTCCCACACCCTAAGCCTAAGCCCTTCCGCGCCATAACATTGATGACGTCATAGACAACCTTCACCTGCGCAACGAGCTCCTGGCGACATGCGCTTTGCTATCATCTTCCACTATGCCTTGCCCATGCCCGTTGGGGCCGTTGGGGTTCCGCTCGTGTTCTCCACACCTGTAGAAGGCACGATGCATCCCGCAAGGAAGCACTGGTGTCTTCATAAAGCAGTGAGTGGATTCAGGCACAATGACATCAACCAAAATAATGGAATTGACTTTAGCTGCTTGAATTCAAGCCTCAAATTCCTCAAAGTTTGGGGCTTGTGCAAAGTGCCTGGCTCGAGAGGCTCGAGGAAGCACAAGGTACGTCCAGGGCTCAGGCTCAAGGCCCAAGATTTAGTATCTGCAACAAGGTTTTTAAGGCTCTACCCATATAACGCCAAAATACAATATGAGCCCCATTATCCCTATATACGCCAAATATATTATAGTAGTTTCCATTTAATTTTCCATTATCCCTATACATCACCAACCCTAAACCCTAAACCCTCCTCAATTTCGGGGTCGTCGAACAGCTTCAAGGTCTTGGTTCTGCACTTCTTTTGCGGAGTGGGCCGCTGCCTTCAGCACAACATACCTATGCTATACCCATTAGATGCCCAATAATATACCTCGAATATACACTATAGTATACCCAGAATATACCACTTATATACCTATAACATACCTATAATGTACCTAAAATGTACCCATAAAATGCTATACTATACTATACTATGACAGAGTATACTATAATATGCTCAAAATAGCTTCCATGTTTTTGTACTGGAACAACAGACGGAAACTCTCATGAAACTCATGAGGACATGCCCCTCCAGGGATGCAGCAACACCACACGGCGAACTGCATCTCGTTCGAACACAGAATCCTGGCGCACGAGTCAGCCCATATGACGGGAGGAGAAACTGCAAGATCAGCAAGGTGAGAAGAAGAGGGAGATAGAGAGCGCGAGATAGAGAATGTAGGAGAGGGAGCTCGACCTCATGGCAAACCCACCCTCCCATTAACAAATACTCCCCCGGCTATATCAGAGTACTGCCTTTCAAGTATTAATCTTACAGTATGAATCCTAAGCCCTAAACCCTATATAACCCATTATAGTCGTTTCCATTTTATTTTCCATTATCCCAATATAACCCTAAACGCTAAACCCTAAACCCTATACGAAAGGGGTTTCCATTTTCTTTCCATTATACCAATATAACCCTACTATAACCATACAAAGCGAGCCGGAAAAACGCCAATGCTGATGACATTCTTCCAGCTCTGGTGCGTGTAGCGGGAATAAAAGTCTTTGATCTCTTGTGCAAAGGCCACCTGCAAACAAGGGCTCCACCGGGCGCAGAATATGCAGGCAACTATGACTGTAGTCTCCTTGGTCCTATAATAAAAATGCCAGTTTCCAATAATTCCTTATTGACCGACTAAAAATGAAGGGTTTCGGGTTCAGGGTTCAACCTTCCACTGTCATGTGCAGGCACTTGCTGCACTTCGCAATCGAGCTTCAAGACGCGGACGCGAGACTGGCAAAATGGCAATGGGAAACAAGCGCGCGGCGTGGACTGAAGAGGACCGCGGCCCCCCATTTACACGACTCCGGTCATCACTATTACAGAGTTGCATGTGGTGACTTCTGGATTTCTACCATAAAGCTACACCTTCAGGCCTTTTCGCTGGGGTTTAAAGCTTTGTTTACTCTTAAACCTTTGTTGCTGAGCCCTGAGGCCCTCAACCTTCAACCAAAATCAACTCCCAATAGTGTGGCCCAAAGTTCTGGTTTTGAGGTGATGGTAGTGGTGGTGGTAGTATTTGTAGTTGTAGCAGTAGCAGCAGCAGTAGCAGTAGCAGTAGCAGTAGCAGTAGCAGTAGCCACGAGGATGTGAATAAGTACAAGAAGGAGTGGCAGAAGTGCAGTCAATGCAGTGTGGACTCTGGTCTGTGCTGCCATGGAGAAAATTCGACAATTTTAGTAACGAGCGAACCTAAACTAACTTTCTGAAGAAACCCTAAACCCTAAGGTTCAAAGATCTTGAGTAAGGAAGAATGAGCCAGTCTTTGAGTTTACTGGAAGCATGTTGCTCACAATTTTGTACGAATGTCCTAGTAAAGTGCAAAATGAACCGTACTTCGAGTAGCAACAGTTAACAATAGTTTTGGTAAGCAAGAAATTGGAACTAGCCTTTTAAGATGTGTGAAAAGCACCTTTCTTCCAACGATCAGCCAAAGGTCTAAGGAAAGAGCAAGATGATTCTTTACTACTTGCCAAAAAAATGCACAGAAGTTGTTTTCAAGGGGGACCGATTTTCGGTCCCCCACTTTGACAGGCTCCAATAATCATAATAATAACAATAATAGTAACAATAATAATAACAAAGATTATAGTAACAATAACATTCATTCATTCATTCAATACGCAGCAA